CCAGATTTAATGAAGAAATGTTGGCTGATTTGGTTACTGGATCAGAGGGACAGGTTCGTATGCAGCTCGTAAAAGTAATGGGAAAATAAATTTTACCAAGCCGTAAATGATCACTCCCCCCTCCCACTTTGGTTTCACTGCCTCATTTCATTCGTGGTCTTGAACTCTGTGTTCCATAGAGCGTTCTTTCACGCAGGCGAAACCTAACCAACTAAAATCAATATTATTGTGCTTTAGCGGGTGCACTCTATGGAGTACTCTTGGTACTATGAACAGAGGACCGTTCATGGTTTTTATGCCATCTTTCGGGAATATAAAGAAGTTCAACCGGTTTTGGTAGCTCTATCAATAAAGTGAATTAGCATTATGATCTAATTTACACCCAATTTCCGAAATTTGACATTTTAGACTCCCAGATTCCTTTTGGGGCCCGCAGTAGCCGCGCGGTCTGAGGCATGGGACTTGTGCCGCTTGATCGCCAGGACCGTGAGTTCGAATCCCACTCAAGCCATGGATGTTTGTCCGAGTTTTTCTGTGTTGTGCTGTCCTGTGTACAGGTAGAGAGAGGCCTTGCCAAGGGCCGATCCCTCGTCCAGGGAGTCCTACCAAATGTCTATACATCAAGCCAACGAAAAGTTGGGACCCGCAGTGTTGAGGCACTTGGAGAAGGGGTAGTTCCCAGTATCACCAGATTCCTTTGGCCGTATAATCAGTACAGTTATGCCTAGAATTAGGAAGTTTAATCTTGAATCGGTATTTAGGGGAGACCAAGGCAAGTTGCTTGTGCATCTAAATGTCGTACAAGGGAATGGTTCAGTTGGTCAAGTCAAAAGGCGCTTGTAAGGCTGTGAAGGACTTGATAAATCACACACCCAATAAATACTATATAGGAAAAAAGAAGCACTTCTGTGACAATTATAGAGCACAGATTTGTAGACAGTTTTATCATATGCATTTTGTGAGCTGTGTCTGATTTATGATATATATGAGCCTGTGTATCAGACGTTTCTGAAGTCCTTCACAGTCTTACCAGCATCTGGCCCACAGACTTCATTGGAATCGACACAATGCTGCTAGACATGCTGCTGTCATGTTGGACACATTTTGTGCAACCTTGTACGGTGTGTTGGCAGCTCATATTTTGTGTGGTGTCTGATAATGATAAAAATATCATTTGAGGTTATGATCTGACCACGTGGACTATACGCTATTAAGGAAAATAATGTGTATTTATATACTTCTAAATTTAGATCTTATGCCAGTTGGAGTGCAAATAGAAGTGTAAATATCATTGCTGATATAGGACCTTTGTTCCATTTTTGTAAATGAATTAGTAAAGTACAAGTTTGCACCAGAGAAGACTCAAATATTCTTTTCTTTGCACCTTGTTGTTATGCTGTTATGTATATAGGAACAAACTTTATCACACACAATATATCATCATCTTCATCAATGTATAATTAAATTCTGGGCATCAAGTTTCAGCCACTGTGGACTGCCTTTGGTCCATCATGGACACATTTCTTATTCTTTACTTGCCACTGTCAGAAATTATGTATTAGAAAAATTAAAATTAAATTAGATTTAGAAATTAGAAAATCCATTCACATTCCGGCACCTATAAACCTAGCCCCACATACCCTATTGGCATATTCATCGCCCTGATGACGGAGGCAGTATGATCTCTGAAACGTTGGTTAATATCAATCAGACTACACACCGCAACAACCCAGAAGACAGAAATCTTCATAATCACCGCTGTAAAAAACCTCAAATCTTACATAGAAACAACAAGTTGTGCATATAAAACAAATAACACACAGTCCTATAATTAGTCACATCAATCAGTAATCACAAGTTTAGTTATTCAAAATAATTAAATATAGACCATATTAAAATAATTTTGTACAGCACAATGTGTGTGTGTTCATTTTGTAGTGTCTCTCCATGCGTCATCATCTGAAGGATGTCAGGTGTATGTGTGTGTGTGTATTGTATTGGAGACTGTAATGTTGGATGTGTCTCCTTTAGACTGTGACTCCTACCCAAGAAGGCACCAAGAAATGAATACACACTTATCGCGTCCCAGAGGGCCAAAAAATGTGCATGCCTACATGTGAATAGTTTTTACAATATTATGTTAATTGCCAGACTGCAGATTACAATTTTTAATTTTAATTTTCAACTTACTTTTTAAATATTTGTGATGCAAATTTATACACATTGGAAAGTTACATATAACCCTGTTTCATAAAAGGAATTGTTTGCATAAGGGCCTGGAAGTGATGAGTGATTGAAACACGCCCAGATTTAATTTTACATTGTTAATAATACAAAATATATTGTGTGCTGGAATCTTTGTTCTGGTTACAGACGGAGAAAACTGTTAGAATCACAGAATCAGTATGTGTTACAAATGGCCTATTACAAACTACATCTGGTGTTAATGTGGAGGTTTAAAATCTACAGTGACATTTATGCAGAATGGAGCAATTTCAAGCCGACGTACTTTCTGGAAACGGATAGCGTGAACAGATTTTTGCATTTCTCTTTTTTTACGCTCCTCCCAAAAGACCCAAGGATGTTCCAGCTTTATAGTCTTCTAGTTAACAATTTTCCTGTGAGTATAAATCCATACATATTTATCCCTGTGGTCAAGTTGGCAAGGAAGCTGTGAAGGAATTTCTGAACTTCTTCTATGATGTGACACATTCTATAAAATAAAATATTAAGCAAAGAAGGTAGTGAGGTGAAACACTCCTCGCATATAGTCTCGCCTAACAAATTTTCAAAGAAATTTTTCCACCTATTCACAATTTCTATTAGATCTGAAAACAAATTGCCTTTATCATTCTTTACCAAATTGGTCTGAGGTTGGTATCATTTTTTAAAGTTATTAATGCCTCTGTACAGGTTTCTGATATTTTTTTCCTTATTATTTGTCTCAAGTTCAGCAAATTTGCCCTTCAGGTATTCGCTTCTCTTATTCCTAAAAGTTCTACTAACTTCATGTCTCACGTTACATAGATTATCCGCATTTGTTTTGAAATTTTGTTTGCTTCCTTCGAACTATTACTTTTGAACATTCTTCATCAAACCACAGTTTATTTTGCTTTCTCCTGTAGTATCCTAGTTTCTCTTTGGTTTAAATTCTGATGCAGTTTCTGACATTTTCCCATTCCCTGTTGATGTCCACACTTTCATTATCTTCATTTGTCTCTAAATTTTGAAACCTATTCGAAATTTCAACTTGATATTGTTCCTTTGCCCCTCCCCCACTTCATTTTTTCAAATTAAATCTTTCTGTGTCAAAATTTTGTTTAGTTCGTCTACTTACTGAAAGCTGCTCCCTCACTTTCGCTATCACCAGATAATGATCAGTGTCACAATCTGCTCCTCTGAAAGACCTCACATCAATTATATTTGTGTGCCTTCTATTATCTACTAAAACATGATCTATTTCTACACCCTTTTAAGATAATAATGGAAAAAATAAAAAAATAAAAATAAGGAGAAAATTTGAAAACGCAAGCGTAAACGCGGCACAGGAAGTTGGTACCCAGGCGGCGCCAGTGTCAGTGTCAATTAATTCTTCCTCGATTTACGCTGCTTCAGCTAACGACCCTGAAGAAGTGGAATGTAACCCCGGCGTAAATCGGGGCATGGTGTAAACGTGATTGGGTAAGATGAATTATGTTTGTAGCTACCATATGATAGTCAAGAAACTCGGATATTTTAAAACACCTAGTCGTTACAAAGTGATAACTTATTTAACATGTTGCCAAACTGTGATCATACTGAAATGGGACAGGGAAATTTATCTTTACCCTTATAGCAAGGCCATGAAAAATTAAGTTTGTGGGTTGCATACATCCTCCTCTGTATGTAACCCATGTGTTAAACATTAATTTTAAATGTAATTAACATTCCTGAGCAGCAGCATGTGCTCGTTGCATATCTCCTTAAATAAAATATTTGTGGTGAAATCAGTAATTTACAGGTTCACATAAAGAAAAACATGCAGATGAAATTAGCTGAATTAAATATTCTTGAAAATACAGCTGTACTGGATGCAAAATATCTGTAAGCATGAGCTGTCACACAAAGAGGGGAAAGGGCAAGGAGGCAGCAAAATGCCTTACGTTACTGCTTGCCCTCCCTCCCCATAACTCAGCTGGCTAGAAAATAACTTGTGAATTTCTAACAGTCAAACACTCAGAGATTCTTTAAAGCCAAGAAAATGAACAATTTCAGATATATTAACAACTTGTGCTTACATAATGCTCGACAGAATTGTATTTCCAGTACTAAATTGTATTGTAAGTATAGCAACATGAAGATGGCTGTCGTGTGGGATGTGGCACTGCGTAGTCTGGTGCTACCACATACAGAATTCTGGTTGAAAATGGCTGCTCAGGGATCTGTGCTGGGACCATCATTGTTTATTTCCTGAGGGTGCCATTAGCGAGGTATTCCCCGGGGATGACGAACCTCCATACGTGGCTGCCCTCTCAGGTCATGATCTGGATCTTCCCAAGGCAAGCTGAAACGGGAACAGACTAATGGTGAAAGCCATGCTCTGGGGAGGGGGATGTAAGATTAAAGGCTACTTGAGTAAGGGACCTCCTAGCGCAAACACCTGGATTCCCTTTGTCCCTTCAGGAATACAAAGTGTTTGTGTAGTTCTTAGATGGTGGATGATAATGAGAGAGACATACATGGCTCTTAAGTTAATGAAGTTTTAGATCTAATAACATCTGACTGTGATCAGCTTGCTTATAATAATAGTAATAACAACAAGAACTCAAGAACAATAACTTTAAACGTTAACTGAATGACATTTAACAAAATGTGTGTTTAAATGTCAAAATATTAAAAACTAGATTATAAAAAAGTACTGGGATTATGTATATGATTCTAATGATTTGTTATGGCTATAGCAGTAACTAATACCTAATTAACATTTATTAAATTTGTTATGTTACTGGAAATTACACTTATTAATGTAAATATAAATCCACTTGAAGTTAGAAAACAGAACACGAACACTGACTTATCAATGTGAACACAAACAATTTGATAATAAAAATATACTAATGCTTACAAAACTCATCCTTCTCAGGGTTCACAGTGGATGGTACGACCAATGTCCACTGTTGCCTCTGCACTTAACTTGAGGGCATCACCCGCAGCTGTTGTCTTTATGTCTGGATCCTTGTTTTTACTGGTTTGGTGAGTACAGGTCATTCTAAAGTATGGTCATTTTCGGGGTATTTGACGCCTCTCGCTCAGTCATGATCAATCTGAAAATAATGTACCTTATTAGCAACTGAGAACAAAACTTTTAAAATATGCTTGGTATCTTGTAGGCTGTTCAGAGTGCATTAAAGCTGGCGACTGTGCCAGAATATAGGCGGTTAGTCCAAGAGGATTTTGTGGCAAATGAAGTGGAACGGGGAGAGGTTTGTTTCTGAGAGCCCTTCAGTCTTTCACTGTCATTATCATTCTGCCGCTCCTGCATAATTACTCGTGTGTAATCTGGGGGATAGAAAACAGCCCTATAAATGGCTGCAGTTCCACAGACACGCAGTCTCAACCTGTCGCAAGAATAACTACAGCTCGCCTAACTGTTTACCGACAGTAGAGAAGTGAAGTGTAGATGGTTGCTGGCTGGTGATAATAATGATTTCATTGATGAAGTATGTCCAGCATTTTGATTATACAGTCTCACAAATAATAGAAAGTTATAACATAAGTAAGTACAAGATTGTATATAACATTGTCATGTAAACACATTTCATCATCTGAGATTTGCTTGTAGTCTTAACATGTTAATTTAGTATTTATAAAGTTATATAATTCTTTTTATTGTTGTAAATTATTGTGACAAGTGATGGCACACATGCACGTGCAACAATCTGTTAGATAATAATATTTTTGCAGAACCTGAAAATGGCAGTATGTGCCAAAATATGTTGCTGTGTATTAAATAATTAAGTTTATCTTCTTGTACATGTCTGAGGTCTGACCAATAAAGCATCATTTCATGTGTAAGAAAAAAATATAAGCAATGCCCATTAATATTGTAACTTGCATTGTATATATTTAAGAGAACTTGTGGTAAATTAATGCAGCCAAAATATCATCACTTATGCCATAAACATTTCAGTAACTTCCTCACAAACTCAAAGCATGTACTGAAAGGATCTGACAGTACATTTTGCACGTCTTCCTTAACGCGTTATTGTGATCCTACTGTGTACTTACTGATAATGTTATGACATTTCCTACACAAAAGCTGTTCTGCTAGGGATGTAAATCACACTTTTTACCTACTGAATTTTTAAAATAAATCACCCAGAAACATTGTCAAAAGTCTCCAAATGTGTACTCTCACTATGCTTGATTTTCTTAGTACATAACCGGGAAAAGGTTGAGTTTAGAACTAAAATACTTCGATACCTTATAGTATTATAACTAGAAGAATGGATGTCTCTTGATTTGTAGAACACAAACCCCCCCTTTACCTCCGTTTTATGGGATCCTTCTCTAATACTCTGTTGACAAAATATGCCACATCCAAGGAAAATCTTTCCTGTCTAAATCAGAACACATCTGTGAAAGAGAAGCCAATTCTTGCATCTGGGTTATGCTACATTGTCAACAAATGAAAACAGCAACGGAATTAATGATGCTTCTCAGTCTTAATATGCGACTCCTAACAGAGTAGCGCACAACTAATGAGTTGCTGGTATCAACATTTTACAGATAATACCAATTTTCAGAAAGTATAGACAAAAGAAAAATGGCATACATGCCATTTTCACAAAGATAACATGGTAATCATTTTGGAATCTTTGATAAGATTAACACTATTTTTCCCTCAAACAATTCTGGAGCAAATTTACCTTACTGCTTTTGGGAGCAAGTTTCATGGAACATTTATATATATATATAAAAATTTGTTTCTAGCTTAAGAAAAACATTAAATTTGGTGGTGAGTTTTAATCCAAAATGTTCCATACATACATACATACACACACACACACACACACATATATATATATATATGTATATATATGTTGTCACATATCTCAGAAATGTTAACAGATGCAAGTATTAAACTCTCTACACTTTACTACCTAAAGGAGGGCACAGGTATGTATTAATATTGAAGTTGCAGCTTCAGGCACTACTCAGATAATTGAGGTAAAATAAGATGCAATCTTATTATGTTGCAAAAAATTTCAACTTTCATACGCATTTTCTCATAGATACTTGTCATCTAAACCAAAGATATGTTGAAATGTGGCAAAAATATACTCAAAATTCAGCATTACATTCATTCTATACTCTGAAATAATAGCTGTAGTAACGTCTCAGGAGTTTAATGGTTTAATAAATGGTAAGTTTGAGGTCCTGGTATTGCAACTGCATAACTTTATTCAGTTATGAATACATTATAAATAATTCCTTAAAGTATTCTGGTCATAATATATTATAAATGGATGTTATAATTTATCAATGGAATGTATGGGTGGATGTATTTGTATTTTAAGTAAGCCATTATACCATGTGATATCATTATAACAGTATGAATTGCACTTGTATTATTCCGACTTATTACACATCGTACTACCATCCAACTAACTTAGAGATCCACATAATTTAATAAAAATGTATGCAAGTAATCTAATGATGTGTACGTTGCTGATGCAGTATTTTAACAGTTTATGAGGTATTTGAAGTTGATGACTTGTAGATCTGCATTAGCAGCCAGCATTTACAATTCTCATGGTTTGGTGTCTTTCATTGAATGATACACTTTTTGAGGTTATGCAACAAAACGTTTTTCTTTTTATTTTTGGACTGTCTCCACTCAGTTTTGCAGATGGTGTGTCAATTATTGATATTAACTGTCTACAGCATACATAAAATGTTTAATTAGTTCTAATGCAAACGAAAAGTTCAAAGTACATTACTACCTCCTTCAATTTGGTAATTGGGTTATGGAAGTTATTTGTACTCCCACAGGCAAGATATTTCCAAAATGCATGCTTATATATGCAGCAACAAGCAGTGCAATAAGTACTTGTCAAGAAATTCACATCAAATCAAAACTCACGTTACTTTAAATTTTGGGGCAATTATCAGAAAAAACAACCTACCATCTGTTCAAATCGATAATCAGAATTGAGTTCTTACATGATAATTCAATTCAATTCATTTATTAAAGTGCTTAACAACAGCCAGAAAGGCCAATAACAGCCAAGCACTAACAATAATAATAATAATACTTTATTTCCTGTAGATCAAAATACATTGATATAGGATATGTCAATTTATATGATGCATTATCAAAATACAATAATGATTATGATATAATCCCATTGGAGATATAGCATTATACACATTAGATTATTAGTATTATGTAGGGAGGAAAGTATTCAAAAATTTTTAATAAAGAACAGGGAAATAATTAAAGTAAAAAGTACTAACTTCCTGGGAGTTGTGATTGATTGCACCCTGAGTTGGGAAGTACATATTGAAAGAATGTGTAGTAGAATTGGTCGTAACCTATTTATAATTAAGAGACTCTCTAAAAAACTTAGTCTAAATGAAAGAAGAATGTTGTATTATGGTTTGATTTATCCCTTTTTGTCTTACAGAATCGTCGTATGGGCACAGAGTGCCAAAGTACTCACTCGACGAATTTTTACTCTTCAAAAAAGGTCAATAAGGTACACAGCAGGTTTAAAACCAATGGAATCGTGCAGAGATAGTTTTAGGAATTTAAACATATTAACAGTATACTCGTTATACATTCAAGAAACCATTTTATATGCAAAAGAAAAGTGTGTCTGCACTGTAAACAAACAAGTACATACATATAACACAAGAAATAAAAATGACTATCATAAATATGTACATAAGTTAGAACTTTATAATAGCAAACCGTCAGTAGCAGGTTGTTTCTTCTATGTTCAGAAATGGCCAAGATATCTGGTGTGGTAGTTTGGAGGAATGCTGTAAATAGCTCAGTTTTATTTCTGAGATACTGTGCATTTTGATGTATTATTTTAAATTGTTGGCTGGGTAGTTTTTTTTATTTTGTAATGACTGGAACCATTGTGGTCCAGTCTTTTTTATTAGTTTCCCTGACTTAAAAAACCTAAGGCTATCACTTCAGAGTTGATTTCTCTATTATTACCTATTATTTTACTTATTTCTTGAGTGACATACTCTTTACCTACTCTATTTACATACTGTCCATGCCTTGTATGATAAGCTCTACTTATATTGCTTAAGTCCATCACTTTTACATTTCTAAATCTTTTACATAGCTTGTTTATGTCCATATTTGCTTTCATAACTTCCTTATTGACTACTGATTCTTTTATTAAATCATGCCTAATTGGTATATTACAAACCACAACATTCGTACTGGTTAGTGCAGCAAGTGTTCTCTTTATAGTATTTATACAATTCTTTGTCTTATTTCTAGCAATCTCATTGGCACTTCCCATAATGACTACACGGTCCTGAGAGCCTAATGATGAACAATCTCTTAAACAATTCTTCAATACACCTTTTATCTTAGCACTAGGCCTCACTTCACCATACACTGAGACATCAACATTGTTTTTACTGAGTGACTTGGTATATCACGACCGTAGCTATCACTGTAGAACATCAGTTTATTTTTATTTTTCAAAGCATTTACCTTTGGGCAACTTGAAGCTTTACTAGACTGAGTCTCATCAGCAACTTCATTTAGTGCACTAAATTTGTTTCTCATTGGAACTAGAAACGGTTGAGTAGCCTGTTTCCTTCTTTACTCATTTCCTTTTGCTGCATAACGCCAGCCAATTTCATTTACTTCCTTTACTTGAAAATGCGTATCTTGTATTATTTCATTCTGCAGAACAGATATTATTTCACGCAAAGACGATATTCTCCTGCATGCTTAAAATTGTATAATCAATTTTTCAGTTAACATAATCCCACAAGAACCTTTTTCTTGTGAATTTACACTGCTATATAAAGTTATGAATTAAACACAAAATATAAACAAAGTCTGAAGTTTCCTGATGATGGTGTATTAAAATATGTAAAATTATTCTTTTTCACTTACTCCATCATCAAAATTATAAACTAAACAATTTTGGAAACTGGATTCTGCTTCTGCCATCAGATACAAAAGCAAAAGGGGATAGAAATCCTATCTGTTGGCCCTCCTACCTAAGACCTGCTCCAGACTAGCAAAAAAAGAATTATATCCTCCCTCTTCATTACTGGAAGATTAGAGAAGAATTCAGCTTCCAGACACTCCGGTCTTAGTATTTAATAATTCAGAAGATGGACAATGTGCGAAAGGGCAATTCTGCACATTATAATGCACCATCACCAGAATACTTCAGACGCTGATTAGATTTCGTGTTTTATATTCAGAGTCCTGTAAAACAGTGTGAAATCACAAGAAAAGTGGTTCTTGCAGGGTTACATTAAATAATATGAAATTTAAT